AGACGTTCCCTTTCAAGTGGAACTCGCACTGCTTCTGAGAAGACGCTACGGGGAACAAATGCCCACTATGCCATGCTGAGACAAATAAGGACTTAACGGTCTTAACAAGGAGGCTCACAGGGAGCCCCTAACACTTGATGTCACTGTCTAGACTTGGCGAGAAAGGGAGCCACCTGCCTAATAGACCCCAACATCTGGGGGGAGGCAGCTAAACCTTGGAGAGTCGACTAGCCTGATAAAATACGAGGAGGGACATCTTAGTTGGTGACATCCTTAACTTGTGTATGACTAGGATTGTTCTTGCACCTAGAGTTTCAAGCACTGCATCCAATTCCTCAGAATTAGGTCTCACATTTTAAACCATTAAAATGGGAGTAATAGATGGGGTCTGAAAGGAAAAGAAATCCCGCCCAGACTGTCTGCCGCTACTTATATTTCTTTGATGACTGCAGGACCGAACTGCGGTGTGCATGTGAACAGTCACCAGTGTGAGTGCCTTCAACTCCCTCGATAGCCGAACACACTGTGAAAACGCTAACTACTATCCCTCAGATGAGAACAAAGAAGTAAAACTTTCTTACCCGTCTCATTCAGTCAGACTTATGAATACAACACAAATAGTGTCTCACAAAGAGTGCATTCAGTCCCCTCAAGGCCAGAATGTGCATGCTCCTCACCCAAGAACTTAATGCACAAGTTGTGTGTGTCCTCAGGTGTCAGTATGGCTGATACAGAGGCACATACTTCCTGAACTGCTGGGCTGGGTCTTTCTCCACAGTTGTCACCTTCACACATACACAAACAAACGGATCCTGAAGACAAAGACATTGATAATGGACACTACAGGCGTCCTCCTTATACTGGTGGTCACACCAGTAGTGATGTCACAGACTGTCATCGTCCAATGGCATTGTCGCTTTTAAACACGTGCTTCAGACACGGTCATGCTGGAGGAATTCTCCATAGCGTCTTCTCAGACAGTGCGAGTTCCACTTGAAAGGGAACTGATGCTGTTGCCTGGTTTCTCCCAAGGTTTCTTACTCCATTATCCAACATAACATGGATTTTTTTTGTTTTGCCACTGTCTGTATGATAGAGTTACCTAGCATTCAGAACAAAGGTGACAGAGTATTAAGGCGAATATTATGACAGTGATACGCATCAGTTTATAGTAATTCTGCATTCTGACTGCAACAGGTTTATCACTACAACAAAGCACTGAAACCAGAACCACTGAGGATTCTGAAATAAACTATCCTATCTCTCATCTCTAACGTGGACTATGAGGAGACTATAAGTTCGGAGCTGAAGTGATCGATGGCTTCTCTATGTTTGTCAGGTGAGATCGCGCTGTGGTCTCTGGTGGTTTTGGCTGTCGAGCGCTATATTGTGGTGTGTAAGCCGATGACAACGTTTCGTTTCGGAGAGAAGCACGCCATCGTGGGAGTGGGCTTCACCTGGGTCATGGCCCTCACCTGCTGCATGCCGCCCCTGCTGGGCTGGTCCAGGTACTCCATCACAGTCTTCCACAAAAGACAGAGCTTTATCCATTCGTTTGTCAACTAAATTCCCCACAACAGTGAAATGTGAAGCTGGGACAGTGCACTAATGAACATACTGAGGTCCTGACTAGAGGTTTGTTGGTCATGTGACTGTGTGCAGGTATATTCCAGAGGGAATGCAGTGCTCCTGTGGAATAGATTACTACACTCCCAAACCTGAGATCAACAACACCTCGTTTGTCATCTACATGTTCATCCTGCACTTCTCCATCCCACTGCTCATCATCTTCTTCTGCTACAGTCGCCTTCTCTGCACTGTCCGTGCGGTAAGACACACACAAACATGTATTTCTTTGTTCTGTAGAACACAGAAGATATTGTGAAGACTGTTGGTAACCAAACTGTTTTGGTTAGCACTGACTTACATTGTATGGACAAAAAAATGCATAATTTTCCTTTTTGGGTGAACTATCACTTTAAATGAACGATTCATATGTAACAAACAAGCACAGACTTAGAGTGCTTTTTTAAAGCAGTTGCAACACAAAGGACACGAGATCTACTTCCTGACATGAGGTTAATAGTTGACCTGTATTGGTGTTGTGCAGTGATGAGCAGGTGTTTCACATCATAACCATATCGTTTATTATTGACACAGCTGGACCACTGGAACAATCAGCATCCAGGACCACAAACACCCCACAGATCATTGTTTTCTGTCATTTGTTTTCTGTCGTTAGGCCGCTGCTCAGCAGCAGGAATCAGAGACGACCCAGAGGGCCGAACGGGAAGTGACACGTATGGTGGTTGTCATGGTGATCTCGTTCTTAGTGTGCTGGGTGCCATATGCCAGCGTGGCCTGGTACATCTTTGGTAATCAGGGGGCGGAGTTTGGTCCTATAGTCATGACGATACCTGCTTTCTTTGCTAAGAGTGCAGCGCTTTACAACCCGGCCATCTACATCGTACTCAACAGACAGGTGAGACCGTTCTAAATCATGTACTACATACTAAGTATACTACTACAATATTAC